TTAAAAAATATATGTTCTGAGAACGGCATCAATATTTTTTTTGTAGATCGGCAAACGAGCAGGCCGTTTACCTGATGGTAAGTAATCAGCGCCGCCCATGGACACCCGCAACGGCGCGGAGGAGTTAAGAGTGCGTTGCCGACCTTTTAGGGATTAGGGGTGGGGAAGGATTGGGCCTCTGGCCTAACGCCGGTTTTCTGTGAGGCCGTGGTACCACTCCTGCCGAAGCATGGCTCTCCCACACTTAAATACAATTGAAAATATGCGTACTATATTTAGCATAACTACTTAATCTAGCCTAAACATAGACAAAGGATCTATGATAAGGTATTTAAAGTTCATATTGAGGATAAACTGTAGGTTTCCCCCGTTTCTTCTCCTGATCAACGCTGAAACTGCAATTTTTATCTCGCAGGGCGAGAGAAACCATTGGAACATTTTCCCACCTCAGAAAAACAGACAGACTCTATTTAACATTAATTATGTGTAGCTACATTATATAATAAAATAGGTATATCTATTGTAAATAACATAAACACATATAAGACGTGTATGTACACAAGTGCAACGGTTCTACACACACTGACATCAATTTGAGTTCTAAGAACGGTCGTAAACGGAGCCATTGTCGTTTTATACGCCATGAAAACCAAGAAAATAAAGTTAATTAAAGCAATTGTTACATCGGACAGAATATGTTTCCATAGCGTGAAGCTTTATAGCTTTAGCCTACTTCGATAAATGGACTAAAAAACACAAAAAGAATCATTGAAATCGAAACAGTAGTTCCGGCGATTAGCGCGTTCAAATAAACAAACAAACTCTTCAGCTTGATAATATTACCAGCTACTCTCACGCGGTTTCACCCGCTGCTCCGCTCCATCTGGTCGTAGCGTGGTATTTTATAGCCTATAGCACTCAGGAACATCAGTGAAAGAATTTTGGAAATCCGACTAGCGGTTCCAAAGATTACCCCCTACACACAAACTTACAAATTTTACCTCTTTATAATATTAGTACAGATTAGTAATTAGCATTAGTATATTAGTATTAGTATAGATATACGTATAGTATACCTAGATTAAATCATATGTTTATGTAATAAAGTAACGGGTATATATTTCGCTGTAAGCACGACTACAGACTACTACAGCCAGTACTAAGCAAGAGGATTGTTTTTCACTGGCAAAAATCTATGAATGGCGAAAGGGTCAGATGCCTATTGAATAAAAACCACTCTTTCTTATCGAGTGTATGCTAGTCGCAATCCCGACTGGACATTCCCTTAGTAGGCTCCATCTGTAGTGTTTTAGTGGATCTTTGAGACGCGTGTGACAAGCGTAGTTTGCCCTCGGCCCTAGCCAATAAAACAAAATAAATACATTTTCTCTTATACATACACTTCAGAAATAACAAGCCAATGCCAATCTATATATACTTATATAAAAATCAATACAACTTTTCGCTGTTATATTATAACTCAACACAATGCCTTTACCGATTTGGTTAATTTTGAATTATCGCATTATTCGTGGAAGTCCAGAGAAGGTTTCTACGTAGAGAAAATTAAAAAAAAATCCTTGAAAAGTGACAATCGAGCATCACGCGGGCGGAGCCGCGGGTGACCACTAGTTTTTAAATAAATATAATTACAATCAAACCAAATCCCCATAATCATCATTGAATCATTGACTAACAGCCAAAGGTATACAGATAACACCAATTTCTGACCTCAACGCTAAATCCTATTAAAGTTAGAATATCCGCGTCGAAATATCGTCGGCCACTGGAAATTAATTTGGCCTCTGTATGTGAGTGACGGCCCGTCGGTCTGTCTATCAAAGCTTTCGGTCCAATTGCTAATCTGGTAAAGGGTTTCTGTGTATATGAACCATGGGTAGGTACTTGAATGTGTTTATTCTGTTTAGTAGCTAATGCTGAAGTCAATTTTGAAGATAAATTTGTTTGGAATTTTGTAGAGGTTTTTTTAGAGCGAAGTTTCAAATAGGACAAACAAGACTTAATTGCAAAAATGATTCCAGATTCCAATGAGGTTTTTTGAAACGAAGTTGAAGGGAATGGATCAGTTGCAATGAACAATATTGATTGCAAAATAACAAAGCAACTACCAAAGCTGAGCTGAGCTACAGACTGCACAGCTGGCGCAGTGGCTGGGCAACTGGCCACGTGTCGCGGGTTCGATTCCCGCACGGAACAACTCTTTGTGTGTGTGTGTAACCCACGAATTGTTGTGCCGGGTCTGGGTGTGATATGTATGTGAATTTGTATGTTTGTAAACGCAACCACGAAACAGGAGAAAATCCTAGTGTGGGGCAACGTTTAAAAAAAAAGCATGTCCCGATCGACGAATCATACAAGATCTTTTGTTTTACCTTTTCCTTAATTCGGTAGAAAATGATCGAATAATAAGAAGCTTAAGAGTATAATAATAAAGAATTTATTTTGCTATAACTGTAAGAAGCTTACTTTCTTGAAATGAAATTGAAGTTCACAGAACTAGTTTCCGTTAAAACTATTGCCAATATTATTTGATTGAAGCTGTCGTATTGAGTCTAGGAAAAAAAAACAAGGTTCTTTCCAGTTTGTATTTCTTAGTAGTAATTATGTATACACTACCTACCTACTATAAATCAAGCTATAAAAACCAGTTCATCATGGTCTCGCATGGTGTGATGTGTTCACACATTCAATGATCAGTTTATGCTGGATATGAATAGCTTGGGAGTCTATGGGTGGCGACTTATCGCTCGACGTGGAGAACTAAGGAAGAGGCAGTGGTTCAGCAATAGTTTAGAGTAAAAAAAGAGAGACAGCACGCTCTTCTCTCTTTTCTCCGGCTCTTCTGCCTATGTAAACACTTTAAAAAAAATTACCTTGATTTATTGCATACTTTCAAAGTAAACGTCAAAGTGTTATTTCAATTAATACTATTAAAAAAGTGAAAGGTGATTTAGGCGTCAGTTTCCGTCAGTGCAGTTGGTAATAAAGTTTCTTTCTTTATTTAATTAAAAATAAGTACATTCAAAAATTAATACGTTGCCCCACGCTAGGATTTGCTGCTTGCTGTGAGGGGAAAATCATCAAATGACTTCTCCCGGCCAGGGCCGGGCGGGAGGGACTGTCAGACTCTTACTGACTAAAAACCCCCCTGTTCCTTCTCCTGCTCTGGGCCGAGGTCGCGGTGCCTCATTGCGCTTACCCCGCAACCCCGGTGTCGTGGGTGCGTTAACAAACATACAATTTCACATGTACACCATTACAATTTGTCGATCACACAAAGAGTTGTTCCGTGCGGTAATTGAATCCGCGACACGTTGCACGAAGTGCAGTCAACATTCAGTACAGTCATTAAAAATTGTGATTTCCAAGATTTTTGACTAGAAACATCAACGCTGTTAAGAATTGAAATACTTAATAATAATAAAAAAAAATGTTTTTTTTAATGGGATATATCGGCAAACGAGCATCCGTATTACCTGATGGTAAGCAACCAACGCCGCCCATGAACACCCGCAACACCAAAGGTGCTGTAAAAACTAACTGTATCTTTTTATGTTCATACTTATATTTCTAACATTTTCGTTATTGAGAAAATTCTAAGTTGAAATGTTACGATAACAATAAAAAGTTAAGGGCATCTGCGAATTGGTCTAGACGTGGCAAAAGGTCCTGAGAATTCGGCAAAGATTAGGGTAGATACTAGAGTTTTAGATAATTCGAAGAACGAAATGCGCTGAATTTTAAGCATAATGTGCTTTACATGCTATGAAATAAAGTCTTTATTGGTGGTAGAAAAGTTCCTAACGTATTTCTTAATAACTGAGAGGACACCGTAGCTCTAGCGTGACGTCATCAACTCACCTCCATCACCTTGTCATCTCTCAAACCCTAAGCGGAAACCGGGTACCTCTCTATCACGCACTTCTTTATAGGGTTCCGATACTTAGATGATTACAATCAGAATTTTAGACGGTAATGATCTAAAATAATTTAAATGTTTATTAAAATAGAGTGGGCTTCGCGAACGCATATCGTGTGTCGCGTCTCGCAGCGACACATTGATGGGAAAAGACCTCTTGACTTAAAAAAAAAAGACTATTAATCACTACGTTTCTCTAAGCGGATCACCGTGCTTTTCATGACACACAAGTTTTCTCATGTTGAATTTGTTCACCGTGTAAAAATGTTTTTAAAGAAGGCTTAGGTTGAATACTTTCGTCGAATTTACTATGGTTGAATATATACTTGTATTTGGTGTCGCGTCGTGTTGTATCGACTCGTGATTGTGAAAAAGCCATAAAATTACAAAGTACATATTTATAACGGCTGTATAAATAAACATGTCACTTTACATACAACCTTATAGCAAACACAATAAGATCTATTTGATAAAGTTAATATTCAGTGAACATTGTGTTACCATATTTTATTTTAATATTGCGATAAACGTCTGCTGAATTGATATGACAGCGAACCGCAATAATTTACTCAGTAAATGTATTTATTTAATACTGATTTCAATATAAATTAGATAAAAGGCTGCTTAGAAATAAAAACTTAGAGATTCTTTAGAAAAAATATATTTAGCTTTGATGTAAACGAATTTCGAAGCATTAAGTTAAAAGCGATTTTATATTTTGTGGTTAGGATGTACCTATAGGTACATCCTTTTTTTTTAATTCGTCGAAATTAACGTTCTGAATTCTAAAATTAAATAGAATTGAATAACGTTGCGCCTTTTAATGAGTGAAAGAGGTTAACATGCAATTCACATTTTTTTTATAACCTCATTTTCTTTAGCTAGACTGGAAAGCGTCTCCTGCTCCTTACTTCAGTCACGCTAAACGATTTCTATACAACTTAAAAGTTTATGCCTTGAGCAAGCGTTGTGTTTAATACTCAAACCTCCGTGTAAAAAAAGGCCTTTGCTCAGCAGTTGTGTTAATAATATGACAACAGACCACTTGCATATACATATTATGTTCATACCATGCAAACCACCTGCAACTCTGCTGATGTTAATGGTGTATGAAATAGGAAGACACATTCTCCGATCCGTGATCACCGCCCGGGCATATGTCAGTCATCAGTTCTGTGTCTCTGAGTGAGTATCAGATTCTCCCCTGGCTTAAAACTAATCTGTTCCTTCTCCAGCTCTGAGCTGAGGACGCGGTACTTTATAGCGCTTGCCCTTACAACCCTAGATGTAATAGTTCTAATACAAATCTTCAACAATGTGTTATCATTTAATGATGACCATGGTAAATAAGTGGAAGTTACAGCCGAACACCAATTGGGCGCCCTGCCAGGTGATATGTCGTCTGGCGTAAAGCCAAACGGTATACGGGTGATAACGCCGAACGAACATACAGTGATAGGTTAAAACAAATGATTGAGGAATATGTTATATCAACCAGAGCGAGAAAAGTTGATGGTTTTCCTCCTGAGGTTGAATAAGCGGCAGCTCCCATAAATAGGTGCCTTGCAACTTTAAGAGTGGGTAGACGACCTTTTACAAATTGTAAATTTCAGAAAAGAGATGGCCGATGGATGGGTGATTGGGCCTTGAGTAATTTTATTTACACAGGCAAGGACGAAAAAAGTAGGCATTAGAATTAAAAAAAGGGAATACTAGTGCACTATTTATAATACAAATGCTTTAGGCATTCTCTTAAAGAACAATCTAATTATATAATTAAAAATATTTTTCTTATTAATCTCAACACGCACTCAGCATTATACAAAAGTATTCACTATTTGGATCTGTAATACTAATACAAAGAAAGCTATAACAAAGAAAAGATACATTTAAGCATCGAGGGAAGTAAAAGGCGTTTCTGAGACGCGTCGCGAATGAATAAATCAAAACCAAAGAGGTTGGTGTCCTTATAAATCATTTGGCATAGGTCCCAGAATTTTCATATTTTCGCATTCGAGTGTGGGAAATGAAATGTAAAGGATATTTTTGATCGGTTTGCATTTACAGTAATGTTTGTTCTTTGAAAACGTTGCTACGGCTTTTCTATGTATTGCTAGATTAGTTCTGCGTATGACTTATTTGACATCGCATCTTATGCATGAGGAAATGGGTTCTAACCCTGGCGAGTAACAATGACCTTTGATGAGACCTTTCCCGACTTATATGTATATATGTACTTTCTATTAATTATTATTTAGACACCACCGTCATACGGTGAAGGAAAACATCGTGAGGAAACGTGGACAAACTGCACTTATAATTTTGGATTCGCCAATCCAATTTGAGCAAGTTTGGTGATTAATGCTCAATCCTTCTCCGTATGAGACAAGACCTTTACTGAGCAGTGAAGCTGTAAGCACTTATAAACTGATAGTATGATGTGATGAGATGAATTATTATCTGCGCTGGTTTAGTGGAGACAAGTATGACTACTGAGCCAGAGGTCTGAAGTTAAGTATTTTAAAAAATCAAAGTAAATACTTAAATAGGGTTTTGTCCCGTGTTATGTTTCTGTTAAATTCACATACTTATGTTGTTGTGGTAACAGATTGTATATGTATATAATATAAGTCTACCTAGATTAAAACTTATCACCTATAAAATGTCGTAGCATATCCATATAAACTTAGAACACTGACCCGTATGATCAAATAACAATATTACTTCTGAACACACTCACTGAAATACAAAAGCAACTATCTGGAAGGTACATTAAATACCATAGCTTTATCCCTATTATTGTGGCAACGGCCCATATGTATACATATGGCACAACAAATTGTTCAAGTGTATTCAGTTTTTTTTTAGGGGCGAAATCTTCAATTGAGTTCTCCCATCATGCTGGGAGCGATGAAGTGACTCACTCTTGCGTACCTTCGTACGGACTGAGTGTAAGTTTTTTAATCAGGAGCAGGAGAAGTCCTGCTCCGGGCCGGAGACATTTTTTGTGAGGGGGAAATCATCAAATTATCAGTGGCAGTGGCAGACTCTTACTGACTATAAATCCACTGCTCTAGGCCGGGGTCGCGATTTCTTATTTCTTAGTTATTTGTTTTATTTATTTTTAAGTTAATCTACTTACATTTAAATTAACTATTACTTATCTTGAAATCTGTTTGCATGTGCTTTTTCTAATAATCTTGTAAAAGGTTTTGCGAAAATAACAATTACCTAATTGCATCCATACATCTATAGGTACTTCCAGAAAAAAACGTAGAATTTTTTTACTAATCGACTTTTAACTTAATGTTTAGGTACTCCTGACATCTAATTTCATGGCCTTATTCTTTTAAAAAAGTTATTTCAATTTCCAATAATTCTTATAACGTAAACAATAAACAAAATGTATGTTTGACTGTTTCCATAAGGAAAACATCAACAAACAATATAACATACATATACTAAATAGTTGATTGTTGGTGCTTTAACAATTTCGAGGAAGTACGCCTTCGAGTTCCAAACATCAGAAACTTTTCTATTATGGTAACGCCTTCCACTAAATTATATGTCAAAACCATACGTTCATAACATACTCGAATCAATGTGTAAAATAATAATGGCGTTGTGTTTGGTCGTGTTATCAAGCTCCAATCCCGCTTTCCCATCCCCAATCTCCACATCCCTCAACCTCAACAGACCAGCAACGCACGCACAACTCCTTCGGTTATATAAGTGAGATAGGCGACCCTGATTGCTTACCATCAGGGCGTATGCACGTTTGCCTCCTTGTCCCGTAAAATTACTATTAGCTGCTGCACTTGTTGGATTTATTGTCGCATATACGTATAGACCAATCATAGTATAAAGGTGGGCTTCAAAACCTGACCGATGCCAATGTCACTTTTTCGGAGTTATAATGTAATTTCTATCATTATTTAGACACCACTGACATATAGTTTAGGGAACTACCACGAGGAATTGGACCTTTTATTTCTAACTGTAAGTTTAAAACGCCAATCCGCTGTGCCGCCATTCCTTCTCAGTGTGTGAAGAGGCTTTTGTTCAGCAGTAGGCATTAGGCACTTATAGGCTTGTGATGTCATGTGTATTGGGAATATTATGTGAGCACATATCAAGCAATATTACTTTAAGTTAAACTGAAAGTTGTAACAAAACTATAAATATAAAACTAAAGACCATTAACCTTTCGTCTACAATGCAATGTCAGTAAGGATGAACGCAAATATTACATTCAAACACTTGTTATAACAAAAACATAATTGTTATTAAGACAATATTTACCTTTGTTAGTAACTATCTCTCAACGTCTGTCTTTAGATCATCTCAAATGCAGTTTAGTTTAGAAAGTGATACAATTGAGAGCTAAAGAAAATAACATCTTAAGCAATGTTTCTAACAATCTTCTTAAGTTTCTCACTTCTCATACAAATAGAATGTTCGAGAATACTTGCAGTGTTTCCAACACCTCTTATAAGTCACCAGAGTGTTCATAGATTGATTGTACATGAGCTGCTTCAAAGAGGTCACGACGTCGTCCTCATCACTCCTCTGCCAAAATACTCAAAAGGAGACTCAACACAGAATTTGACGGAAATCGACGTCTCCAATGTGACAAATCAAGTTTGGAATAAACAATACGAAGAGAGTTATAACAATAAAGATTTTAAAAATATTCTACAGATCGCTACTAAGGTTGTCGAAAAGCAATTCGAAAGTGATGAGATTAAATCCTTCATTAACAACAATGAAACTTTTGATCTTCTTTTGTTGGAGACCTGGATTCGGCCGACACTCTTCTGGACTTACGTTTACGATGTTCCTGTAATTTCTGTCAGCTCTTTTGGTTCATTATACAACGACTACGTGAACATGGGTGGTCCTATACATCCTTTATTGCATCCTACGAGTTTGCAACGTGATGTATGGAATGAAAACTTTTGGCAGAAAATTTTGGCCTTGAAAGAGTATTGGAAATTGGACTCTATGTTCAATGAACTGGAGATAGAAGAAGATGCTTTAGCGAAGAAACTGTTTGGTGAGGTGCCTCCCTTAAAAGAGCAGATAAAGAAAATAGAGTTACTTGTTTTGAATGTCCATCCGGCATGGCAAGAGGCTCGTCCTGTGCCTCAAAATGTGGTGCATTTAGGAGCAACTCATCTGCAAGATGAGAACCAAACGATGCATATAAGCCCAGTAAGTGATAATTGTAAAACTTAGTATCTTTCACAATAACCTGATGCAGGTAGATGTTACAAGGTGTCTAATGGGTGAACTGCCTAGAATAATATTTAAATGTGGGAGAGCCATGCTTCGGAACGAATGGGTCGGCTCGACCGAAGTGTTACCAGGGCTTTTCAGAATATCGATGTAAAGCAACGTTTCGCTTTGTAAGTGAGGTTACCCGAGGCTCAATCCTCCCTATCTTAAATCCCTATTAACTCACAAGAGGCTTGTAGTATAACTCCTTTCGTATTACGAGTGACCATGCTTACCATCAAGCAATCCGTTTGTTCCCAAAGTTTCCCAACCTTTGCCATTAAGCAGATTATAAAACCTACATCTGCTTAAAATAACATGGAAGACCCATAAAAGATATTTTAACAAAAATAATCCTTTCCCCCAGCAACTCGAAGAGTATTTGGAATTGTCAACGGCTGGTGTGGTATACATCAGCCAAGACAAGAACATAGGAACCTCAATACTACCTGAACATTTAAAACGCAAGCTAATCAGAGCATTTAGCAAACTGTCTTGCCCTGTGCTTTGGAACTGCGATGAAGACATTAAGGATTTGCCACACAACGTCAAGCTTGGGAAATGGTTCCCTCAGGCAGCATTATTAAGTAAGTTCTAAGTGTTGATTAAAGTTTTAAGTTTTAATTAAGTATATTTCTCACGCCAAATTGCTTGGAAGGATTTCTGTTTGTGATGGCTAAGCTAAGACTAGATAAAAATAGCTACAGATTAGTCAAGATTACTTAATAACATTATAAACTTAACTTTTTATTATGTTTTTGTCGTAAGTGCTCAGTAATCAGTGCGTATTATGCTTCATTCAAATAGTTTTACTGAGACAATATTTAAGTACAAATCAAATATCTAATTTGATAAAATAAGTCGTATACACATTTTTATGGCACAGGGCGGTCAACAAGCATACGGACCACAATAATCGATTTTGACTGCACGGTTGGCTCGGTGGCTGGGCAACTGGCTGCAACGTGTCGCGATTCCCGCACGGAATAACTCTTTGTGTGATTCATAAATTGTTCTTCCGGGTCTGGGCTTGACGTGTATGTGAAATTGTATGTTTGTAAATGCACCCATGACACAGGAGAAAATCATAGTAAGGGGCAACGATAAAAAAATATAGGCGTCGTAATAGAAACAAGCAACAAAAAATTGAAATTTGGGGATTGGCTATTGAGGTTTGAAGTTTAGTTCTAGGGACTAGATGGGGACTGAGGATAGGCTAGGCGATTAGTGATAGGGCATTGGTGTTTACTATTGCAGATTAAGGATACCATAGTAAGGTATTGGGACTGCTATTGGAAATTAGGGCTTGGGGATTGAAGAATGAGATTTTTGATTGCGGATTGGGTGTTGAAAATATATAGGTAGAGGATTAGGCTTCTGGTAACCTTAGTCACATTACACTTTAATATAATAGTACTCTCTTTTTTCAGACCACCCAAACATTAATCTCTTTATAAGTCAATGTGGCCAGCAGTCTATTGACGAGGCTATTGCCTCATCAGTCCCAGTGCTAGGGCTACCTCAGACAGAAGACCAGTGGCGGAATGCTGAGCTACTGGTACATCACGAAGTTGGCGCCACTGTCGACTTAGAGACAATAAGCGATGAAGAGTTAAGGAATATTATTGAGGATACTATGAAGAACGAAAGGTACAGTTCCTATATTACTTATTTGAGTTTTATGTTTAAAGACTGAACTGACTTTACTTAATAAGTTTCACAAGAAAGTTGTTTTTAATGTTATTAATTTTAACAATAAGTTAAATGAAAACAATTACTAAAAAAAACATCAATATAAATATGAATGTTGATTTACTTAATCTAGATTATTAAACCTTTTTGGAGAAAATCATTACCTTGTGAACTGGTTTTCTTGATCATCATCATCATCAGCATTTAAGCGCCCACTTTCGAGCAAAGATATCTTTTACTCTTTTAATCACCACGCTTCCTCAAAGCGGATTTGTGATTTTAAATTATCTAATACTTAGGAATTTTAAGACTAGTTTTTCTCTCGTTGTTTACGTTCACCATTTTGTTAGTGGTGTCTAAATACACTTAAAAAGTACATATAACTTACTATAAGAATCACATTGTTATTTCTTAGGTTTCGAAACCATCATGAGTTTCTTTATCAAGTTATTAGTTATTTATTGACTAACAATTTATTTTATAAACGATCACAAAAATACACAATAATAAACTATTACACTTTGCAGTTACCGCACAAACATGCATCGCTTGCGCACAGCGATATTTGACGGACCTGCGCCTGCGCAGGTCCGAGCAGCGAACGCCATAGAATACGTCTTACGTCACTCATCAGCAATGATCGTGTCCCCTTCAAGGCACATCCCTTGGCTTCAATACTTTGAAATTGAATTATTAATTATTTTTGTCATTGTTATTTGTATCAAAGCTTTTCTTATGTATAAACTGATAAAGTACCTAATTGGAGAGATGTTTAAAAAGGTACAGTATAGTACGTTGTAAGAGAACTTATGTAGTAAATTGTTTTGAGAGAGGAAATACGATAAGAGACTATTAAATACAAACTATTTGGTATATTTGGTAAGCAATCAGCGCCGCCCATGGACACTCGCAACACCAAAAAAATTACAAGTGCGTTGCCGGCCTTAAGGGTTTCGGGTATTTAAAGAATGGGAAGGGATGGGGGAGGGGGAGGGATTGGGCCTCCGGTAACCTCACTAACACGGCGAAACACAACGCTGTGGTTGTTTCATGCCGGTTTCTGTGAGGCCGTGGTATCACTCCGGTCGAGCCGACCCATTCGTGCCGAAACTTGGCTCTCCTACAATTCACAATACACTCTAAAATCTAACCTTATTTTCTGAACTGCATACAAAATACCAGTTTAGCTGACCTTCCAAATCAAGGCCAATGTTGCTGTGAAGTTGTGTGTATGTAAGTTATGTTAGTAATACGACATCCAATCACAACGCAACTAAAACATTATTGTTTTGAAATAAACACAACAACAACAATAATAGAACTATTTCAGTAAAGATAACAGTGTTTCATTGTAATCACTTCCCATAATCGCCGAGAGGACTGCGATATCATCGGCCCATAATCTAAATTGGGCCGAGAATAAGACGCTCGAAATAGGGGAAATTGCTCGAAATTGATATTACGCTAACAATGCCGCTTGGGATATAATAATTGATGTTATTTTTGCTTTGTTGGTCAAACCGACAAGATATAGTTAGATCGAGTATTTTGAAACCGACAAGATATGGATAGATCGAGTGTTGTTGGCCACTAATGACCCACTAAGACCTTATGATTACTGTGTGATTTTACACATCACATCACATCATCAGGCTTTAAATGCCCTCTGCTGGAGCAAAGGCCTCTTCTCACACGGATTTGAACATTAATAATTGGTGATTATTAATGTTTAAATCAGTGTGAGAAGAGGCCTTTGCTTGATCAAGGCGGATTGGCGATTTGAAACTTATAATTAAAGTTATAAGTCCAGGTTTCCATACTTATATCCTTCACAGTCAGTATTTCCTTCACATTCAGTATTTCTTTGTTAGTGGTGACAAAATAATCATAGAAAGTACATCATACAACTCAGTGACAGTCACATTCATTGGTACTTGCCAAGTTCCAAGCCTCCTCATGCATTAGATGCGGGTGAAACTAACTTTTGGGCCACCACGGCGTTTTTTTTTTTTTTTGAAAAATCGATGTAAATTAAAACTAGGGTGTTAAAAAAATGCGTTTATAGACTCTTCAGTTCTTAATACTATGCATCTCCAGACTCCATAGAAAGATTTTGGGGAGACGTGAACTATTAAAAATACGTCCATGAAAATCCTAACATCTTCAGTCCATTATATAATAATTTTAACGCCAACATATTTACGTAGGGGGAATGTAAACAACATGCTATATTATTTGCATACCGATCACGTTCGCTGCCTAATACCGTGTCACGCTGTCTAACGAACTAATGAGCGCACATGTCACTTAGTGTTCCAGGAGACGACGCAGGTAATCCTGTATGTCTGCTCAAATACCTATATAGCTATAAAGATATAAAGGAAAACATATTTGAATGTTATTAGAAAACCAAACTATTTCGGTAGAATTTAGGACGACTGCGGCAGAAGTTTTTTATTTAATTGTGCAAAGATATTTCTACCGCCCAGGTTGACGCGAGAGGAAATGTCAGACTCTTGCTGACTATAAACCACCCGTTCCTTCTCCTGTTGTCCGAGACCGCGGTGCCTCATTGCGCTTATTCCGCAACCCTGGCTAAATTTATCACAGTAGATAAGATCGAATATTAAATAAAATAATCATGTATGTAGAAACTTGTTATTAGCAATTGAAATAGATATACATATAATAATACTTGGAGCAGTAGTTTTTTTCTTTCGTATAATATGATAAAATTATGTTAGTGTGCCTATCAATCTATGTTCTAGCCAGGTTTGTTTACTTCGTCTTACTAAAGCATAAATAGGTAAGTAGAAATACAATTCTCATTAAAATGTATGAAGCTTGTTATCACAACTCAACGAGATTAACAGAATAAGCAACTTAAAATTGTATTTCAAGATGTCGAAGAAATGATAAATATTAATAATGGATTATTCAATAAACATGTTTGCGTCCTTTGAAATGTTACTAAGAATTGTTTGTTTAAAATCACTTAACGATAAATGATGTTTAAATTATTATAAGTAGGTATAAATTCGTTAGAATTTCCCTTTTAGAATTTCCCAATTTCTTAGTAGCGACATCTATCGCACAACATTAACAACAGCACCAATAACGTGCAAGATTCTTCATCGCGGTATACCTAAGAGTTCTCATCGCAATTAGAAACTATACAAACTTCCGACAATAAACGTCGGACAGTAGCCCACCAGGCACGAACACCTCGGCTGGTCGGAGGATCCTCCCTTTTCAATGGAGGATGAGGAGAACTTTCCACCCTGTTCTCTCATACCTCAAAATCTTATTTGAGGGCATAATGTATCTGACTCTTTTACACTACAAACCACCCCGTTTCTTCTCCTACTTCATACCAGGGCCGCTGCACATCAGCCCTGTTGGGTTCCATCTGTGGTGGTCTGTTGGTTCTTTGAAGTCGCGCGGTATGCTACGCGCCTTACGGGGTCTGATTTTGGACAGGCTTGAGCTACCCTCGCAGACGGGTGATTTTCTCATTTAATACCTATATAAATATTATCTGTTGACATTTTTCTGAAAGTAAAAAGTTCTTTCGATCTGGTAGATGTAGATATATTGCAGATTAATTACGCCTGAAAGCTAGCCTTTCTTGATTAGGCTATTAGTTAGGGGGTGGAGGGATTTTCATTAAAACCGGGTTGCTGCCAGAAAAGTGTTTTTTTTTAACTTTAGAACTGTGATCCGTACAGAAATAAATAGCTACCAGAATAGTACTGTAGGCTAGATCATTAATTAAATGGTTAGTTGGCTGTACCTAATTGCCTTATGATTATAATCATCATCAACATATAAGGGGGCCCTTATATGTTGCTGATCAAAGCGTCTTCTCACACGGAAAAAGTTTATGCATTAATCAACATACTTGCTCGGGCGGATTGGCGATTTCATTTTGATATATAATTTAAAAATATAAGTTCAGGTTCCCTCACGATGTTTTGCTTCACCGTATGTCAATGGTTTCTAAATAATCTTAGAAAGTACATATAACTCGGAAAATCACATTGGTGGTAGCCGCTTAGCCAGGTTTCGAACCGGCGTTATGATATAAATAGGTATTTATAGAAAACCTTAAATTTTATGTCATCTATTGAATAGGAATCGGTTGTCTATTTGCTCCAATAAATAAAACATTATATCAATATGTGACAGTCTTTATTGTTATTTTAATTAGCTCAATAACAATGTACAGCGTCTTATATAAACATTTTACATAATTAAACATTTAAGAATAGAGATAACTAAGGCATCAACGTTACAAATCACAAGAATATGTTTACACTAAGATTTAGACACGAATCGGTGAGTTATTGAGATGAAAAAAGCCTCTTAGATTATAATGATATGAGAATTTATAATGAAACTAACTTAAGTCTGATCAAACACAAAACAAAATAAACAAATTACCAAATTTCGCAAGTTACATAGCCATGTTTGAATGCAAAAACAATTATAAATATGATTCTTCTGAACTTTGCTAGCATCATACAATTTACCATATCACTGGTCTATATGTATATAAGTCACACTTACTCAGTAAATAGCTTATATCAGAGAAGTCATGTTGCCAATGTTTCTTAAAACAAGTTACAATGAATTTCACTCCAAATGCAATATGGAGGACAATCGTGAAAATTTCCGTCTGAATAAAACAAGAGGTATAATATCGTTAAGAAGTCCCACATTTACTCTTTGTAGCGATTCTTTCTTCGACAAAAGCAATGAATAAATGCAATGACAAATCTTAAGGTTTTATTTACATAGAAATCTCTGCAATTATTAGCTGAGCTAAAGATTGTTCAAAGATATTCTAGTGCCTTTCAATCTTAGTGTTTGAGCTGCATTAGTTACAGATGAATAAATAGATTTTTGAGTTCAATTTTCAAGTCTATTTTTTAATAACTGAATTTACAATTATTGTGTATCAATTCACGTAATTTCAATCAGAATATTGTACCATTATATTTTAAGTTAATTATTTTAATTTTAACAATATAGTATTATAATATACCATACTATATTGTTGTACAAAAACACGATTTTAATTCAACACTAACTGCCAAGGCATTTAATGATAAGTTAAACTATTTTTATTAACAATTTTGTTCCAAAAATAATCGCTAAGGGCTAGGTTTAGTAACAATTAAATGAATAATACGAAACACACTTTTATTGACTTCCTTCAAAACAAATTTAGCCCCAATTTTGTTCTATTAGTAGAACAATAACCAAGGTTGTCTCCAACCAAACAACAATGTCATATTATACATCAGGCCCTATCAGTCTTGACCTTCAGAACTCATCAATCATAGAACACTTACTATGAGAAGCGATATGACATACTTCGTGCCTCATTCAGTATTGGGCAAGTGACTTGACAGTTTTATTTGGATATTTTATTATTTTCTAAAATTTGTTCTGGAGTTTCACTGTTGAGAGTTTTTAACAGAAATTATATAGCTGTTATTGTTATGATATGGTCCTAAAAATAAAATTTTCAGGACATTTTGTTTTATAATTTATTTATAGCTTGCCTTATTTATTAATCATTTATATTAATGGACGATGTAAATAGTAAATACCTATGTTTTTGTTTCGCATTCAAACCAAGTTCTCTGAACATCGTTTACAATATAATTTGATTTAATTCCTGAAATAACTTCATATCAGTAAAAAAACAAAAAAACATGAATGATAATGGAATTATATGTTGCACACACATGATGCCTCGTTTACACTTATAATTCGTGCTAGTAATTCAAGCCAGTTACTAGCTTAAATTACAAGTATAAACGAGCCTCAAAATAAAATAAAAAAGTATAAAATTCACATACAAACAATAACCCACACTTTCTCAAGTAACTCAACATGAGTTGTTTAAATAATATGTCGAAATTAATTTCAACTATATAAAGTCGTAAACGAAATAGTCACTGTTTAAGTAAATTAATCTTTACTGGTCATGAAATAGCGTACTTTTTCCTTTACAACTACGTTTTTACGTTACCTACACAATTCTCTGTGACAAAAAATATAATTATTCTATCAAGTAAATAGGCATATATTTGTAATATAGTGTAAATATGCAATCTGTATATTTTTTTTCGTGTAAAATATGAATATAGTTATTGTTGTGAAGGCACCGCTATTTGTACTGCTTAAAATATAAAATTTTCTTAATAAAAAACTACATTTTTTTATTTACAATTCATTTAAAATACTATCTACTTATTTACATGGCACATACTTTTGTTTTGTCGTACAAACTCCTTTGATAAAAACTATATTATTATAATATACTGGGAATTAATTATTTTTACATTTGTTTTAGTAGAATGGCACTGGATTCGTTACCTACGGCCTATTATACATATTTCATTAAGGGCTGACTTTTCAATGGTTAGATAAAAGTGACCTGGGGAATCATTATGATGCTGTCGCGTTAGAGTGTTTGTATAAGACAGTGACAGCAACAATTTTATTCCTCATATAACATTTATCTGACTATTGAAAAATCAGCTCTAAAGAACTAAATAAACACAATTTCTTTTTACAAATTAAAATAATCGTATCTCTATCAATGTCTTTACTTAAATTCTGTTTAATCTGTGGCCTAACGCTACGTTAATCTACCCGACCAATCACAACAGCGCAATTTTAGAGCACAGATTAAATAGTCATTCAATACACACCCGTACTGAATATTCGGTCAGTTGTCAAAAACGTTCAACATTTTTAAAACAGTTAGTCAAAAACTTCTTAATAAAATATAATACTTTAAATACGAAATGTAGCAAATATAACTAAAAACGGATATAAAATGCATAAAATAAAAATCATTAATCATTCTGGCAACATTTCTGGATGTCAAATACAATGGAATTATAGATATCACAAGAAAATATAATTATTAATTAATTCATTACAACAATAATATTGAATATATTATGTATATAAATGTACAACATACATAATGTAAGAACAATTCATTTAATTTTTATACAAAAATAATTATTTAATATATTGAAGGGATCCAATAAGGGGCTTACAGTATACTTGTGAATACTAACTATCGTGAGACATTTTATATTCGTCGAAAATAATGAATTACTCACGTGAATTAACTAAGTAAAATAAAAAAAGCTCTTTTTATAGTTGCCGTCGCCAGGACGCGCAAGCTGCTCAAGAATATCCTGTTGTAATTTAAAACTAGAAGACGTGTGGGAGAGCCATGCTTCAGCAAGAATGGGTCAGCTCGACCGGAATGATACCACGGCGTCATAGAAAACCAACGTGAAACAACCACAGCGTTGTGTTTCGCCGTGTGAGTGAGGTTAACGGAGGCCCAACCCTTAAATATCCGTTACTCCTTTGGTGTTGCGGTTGTCCATGAACGGGGCCGATTGCTTACCATCCGGTAATCCGTCTGCTCGTTTGCTGACTTATTCCATAAGAACAGAAGACCTTTTCTCTCTTAATTCACGTGAATAGGTCATTATTTTCTATAAATTAACTTGTGAATCACTGAAGCTATATGTTTTTCTTAAAGAGATTCCATACAATCGGCAAGGAACTATAGTTTGGACGATATAATAATGTTAATATGAAATAAATACTTAGCAAAACACATCGAAATACCTCAAAAGCTCATAATGATACATTTTAAAAATGTACCCTAAAGTTATGGCTTTTAGAGGTATTTTGCTGTGAGAGCTACATACACTTTGATCTTTCACTTTACGCGTACATAACCGTCTAACTATATTAAGACGGTTTTTCAATTTATTTGCAGTTCATATAACACTCTTGGGACTGTTCTAATACTCAAAATTGTCAATATTTTATTAAAAAAAAAGTTTTCGTGTCCACACTTTCAATTCAAAAACCATTTATTCTATCACAGGCTTTAACACAACCGCACTTTAACCAGCCTCTTCAAACAATTAAGGCAAATCCAACCTTATTAACATCACTAAATAGTTCGAAACTCCTTGTCTTTTTGTCATGCATCTCACTGGTGTGAAGTGAGCTTCGTTTCATGATGAACAAACACGACATTATTGGAAAATGAACTTTGTCAACTAGACGTTTAAGTTGAAATTCATTCCTTTAATGGTTTTGTTCAAGTCTTCATAGTTGTAAAATAAGCTCTATTTTTCACAAGTTAAAGTTGACATTCATACCTTTCAGTAGAACTTGTCTTCTTCGATATCCAAGTTGTTTTTGTTGTTAGGTTGGTTGGAATGTCTTCGTAATGTGCCGAGAGAGTCGTACTCGTTCGCGATAGCTTTCGGGTAGAGTTTGGGAGTCGTAGCAACTGTATTGTGGTTATTTGCGTTAACTATGTTGTTGCTTTTCGATAGAAGGAGTCCGCTTGTACTGCCGATGCCTGAGAACGATGGTTGGCGTTTCGCTTTGCGCGGCTGTGGACAAATTTTAACAAGATTTTAACTAACTTCCAACGAATTTAGGTTCATGAATTTCAATTTGTCAACAACCAGTTGAAGATTGATTACTGCAAGCGATTGAGCTGTTTTTTTTTTGTAGGTATACACGTTTGATTCACTTTTACTTTTTTTTTTGAGGGGAAAATCATCACATAACTTCTTACACCCAGAGTCGGGCGGGAGGGAATGTCAGATTCTTGCTGACAAGAAACCCCCCATTCCTTTGCTTACCCCGCAATCCCTTGTGAACATCAGCCCTATAGGGTCCCGTCTGTGGTGGTCTATTGGCTCTTTGAGGCGCGCGCGGAACGGAGATCGTCTCTCGACTTTTACTTGTACTTACTTGTACTGACTTATATGAAGATTATAATTTATAAGCTGAATTTTAAAATGAATAACTTACAACTTCTTTCAAGGGTACAGTGACGTAGCTGTTCTGTTTAGCGGTGATATAATGCGGACTGGAAGGCACGCGGTGTTGCTTGTTCCACGGCATCCTAGTCCCGCGCCGCTGGCAGAATATCACACCCGCTAAGCATACGAGGCAACCTGTAGATGTAAAAAATATAAGTAAAAAGAACCAATTTTAAATGTGGTGTAGTCATGCTTCGGCACGAATGAGTCAGCTCGACCGGAGTCATACCACGGGCTCACAGAAAACCGGCGCGAAACTACCACAGTATTGTGTTTCACCATGGCAATAAGGTCGCCATAGGCTCAATCCTTTTTCCCTCCCCCAATACCTAAATCTCCAAAACGTTAATCCCCAAATATTATAAAGCGGTAAGTTTTTGATTATTTAGGGAGTAAATCTTTGGAACCGCTTCGGATTTCCAAAATTCTTTCACTGATAGCTAGCTTACAATGTTCCTGAGTACTATATTCTATAAATAATACTGATTTGCGTATTTTAGTTGAGTTATCAATTTAAACGCTGCTGTTTTTATACACGTGCGAAGCCGCTGTTGGAAGCTAGTTTTAAATAGAATCCATTTAAGTGAAATTTAAATTATACATTAAAAATATTATCTTCTACATATATTTTATATAAAAGAGTAACAACAGCCTTTATAATATTAGCAGGGTTTCACAAAGGAATTGTTATATAACTGGAGAAAAGTTGATGTTACACTTCAGATACACCGCTGCTTACCCACTTTATAGACTAAAGATAAAACTGTCACTAGTTGTTTTTAAAAAACTGCGTTCGTATTTAAGATAATTTATCACATAATAAACATACTTACTAATGAAATAAAAAAAAACAATTTAAAATATGAAAATAAATAACAAAAAGAATAAAAAAAAAATGTGGTCAAGTTGTGCCTTAACCAATTTTGTGTGTTCCATCCTTGTCAAGGGGAGTGCTAACCGTCTCTCCTTTCAATAGACACGACAACAAGCCTCGAAATTATTCGAGTGTTCTAACTTAAATGAAAACTTTACTAGCGCGATTTAGAACTTTTGACTAATAAAGTATATAAAAACGTAAAATATATGTAACAAATTATTGATTAATATAGATAATACTTTTATCTGCTCATTAAAACCTATAAATAAATAACTGATTAAAAAATAAACCGAATAAAATCAATTTAAAACATTGAGCTTTATGAAGTTAGTAACAGCGCCATCTATGATTACACGATCGAACTACGTAGATTTCAGACTCACCCATGGCGAAGGCACCGATGACGCAGCCTATGATACTGCCTAAGCTAAGAGTCTCGTTGCCTGTAGTGACAAACGACGCCATCTCTACGTTTTGGCTGTAAGCTGGCATCGCGTACAATTCTGTTGGAAATTTAATTATTTTAGAACATGGAACATACATTTTTATAATAGAAACCACACATTTGGGTACAAACAAATTAGACATACCATTATCAATATCCCGGTCATCGTCAGTACACCTGGCGACCTGTAACTGCGCTCCCAGACAGGCCCCGGCCATACACGCTCGCTTCCTTATACGTTCCCCGCCCGTACAGTCGCCCCATGGACCCCATTCACCCCAACCCGCTTCTGAGTCTAAAGAAACAATTAAAAAAACTCTTTATTTATTTAATGTTAAAATTTTTATACAAAATAATATATACAGACGAACTAAATGCCTAAGGCATTGTCTTAAAGTCGGTTGTAGTATTAGGTGATGGAGAGATGTGTCAGGTGACAAAATGTAACTAGATATTATTATTATTACATTTAATAACTTAGATACGGTTTATAAACATATAAGGAAAACTTAACTCAGTTGTTTGATTGGTTAAATTTCTCATTCAAGTTGTAAGTTGAAGGGATTGTTACGAAAAGCCAGTAGCTACCAGAATGATAGGTGAGGATAGTGATCTGTAAACTGCACAGAAAGCATATCGTTATCTTAATTAAAACACTACTCAAATCGTACTGTAATCATAGGGTTAATTGATTGAACGGCTATTTTAACCAGTTAGCTACGACATATCGCACCACCCTTGAGGTTGACTGGTAGAGAATGTCTTTTGGATTTAGTCTGCATTTGTATTAGACAAGGAAGAAAATCTCAATGTAGGTGTCAGTAATAATCGTTACTCATTTTTTATTGCAAATAACGGCTTGTTCGCTTGAGAAAAGCTAGTACTAGTTCCTTCATGCTGTCTATTCTTATGTATGCTTAGATCTTTTAAACTACGTGACAGATTTTGATTCTATTTTTTTTATATATACATATAATGAGTATGGTGATAAATGGCGAATAATATGTGTACCTGCACAGTTTTTGACACAGACGCGTCGTTCGAGCGCGGCCCACTCGTCCCCTGCGCCTGCGCAGCCGCCGGGCGACAGACAGCTGCGCGACCGCGTGCGGTGCCCCGCCGCGCTGCCCTCCGCGCCCTCGCACTCCCCGCGACACTCACTCCACTCACTCCAACATGACCACTCTCCTGTACCAAGAACATACTCATGTCTCACTCTTTTAAAATATATGTGATTGTAAAATTACAAGTAAAATATTATTTGCAGACCCATAAAGAAAAAAGACATTTTTAACAATATGTTAATAGTATTTTTTACGTGTAAGAGTTACAAACATCCATCCACGAACACTTAGAAAGCAATTATATTTCTATACTAGAATTGTTTGTATAAATAATACTAACCGGTGCAAGCCAGCTTATTACAAGCCTGTAGCATCTCGCTGGGTCCGTGACACTGTCCGTGTTTGAGACACCGCCTGCTCCTCCTCTGGTGCCCTCCTCCGCATGAGACGGAGCATGCCTCCCAAGGTCCCCAGGGCTCCCAACCAACCTCGTTGTCCGAGATCGGCTCACTACTACAGCGACCCCGGGAGTTACAGTAGCGTTCATCTTCTCGGACCATTGAGAGCTGGAAACGAAATTTAAAATCTTTATTTTATTTGTTAAGAAAAATAATATTTGTGATTACACTTTATTATTGTTATTATGTTTTGATCCTGATAACACGACTGGCACCTGGCTACTGTGTAACGTGTCGCAGGTTCGATTCTCATACGAAACAACATTTTGTGTGATCCATAAATTGTTGAGTCCTAGTGTCTGGGTGTGATGTGTATGCGAATTTAAATATTTATAAACGCACCAATGATACAACCGTATAAACAAGAGTTTTACAATGTTTTAAGAGTAAAAAATCAACAAACTACCTTTTAGATTTGCTTATATTAACAATTTTATTTTTTAAATAACATTTCTGTAGTAAGAAAATCCACAAATATTACAACCAGTTTTTAAAAATGGTATACATCTGCTTGACTTACCTTCAACTGTTCAGGGGATGGAGCTCTACATTGAAACTTGAATCTCTTCTCTGTATAGCTCCCATCGGATCCGTTGCCTGGGAATAACAAAACATGATTATTGTTATGGCTTGAAATTTTAATTACCATACAGTAAGTTGAGTATTATAATGTGTTCCCGCCAAAATCTACCGAAATATCAGTTACGGCAACTGGCCGTTTTTTTATATTACAGTATTTATGCTCCTAAAGAAATTTGGAAACGGATGGCCAGACACAAGATTTGTACAAGGATTGCCAGAAAATCAATTTATTTTCCTATTTTTTACGGTTTTTCTTCATTTCACCGTGGCCGTTTCGATACCAAACCGACTAAAACCGAATCGCTATCACTGTAAACTGGGAATCCGGGAAACTACGTACGTCCTAGAAAAGCTATTCCTTTACGAAATCACCTTATGTGATAGGATCACCCTAATAATATTGTAACCTAACACTATACAGGGTATATAAAGACACTTAACGAAACCGTTAACTACGCATACTGCAGTTCTAACTAAGTAGCTTTACGCTAAAATTATCACTGGGAAACGACTTTTATTTTTAGGTATCATAAAAAATAATAATTTATTGCGCGCAATGTAAAGCAAACGGGTTTCGTGTCATTGTGTGCGTAGGTTCATAGCTTAGCATTAAAACGCTGTGATAAGTACGTAGGTCGACGTTTTACTTCGCAACAACAAACAATTCTGTAAAATAAAAATCCTACTGAGATGCACGATGTTTTGTGCGGGTCTGCATTTATTTATTACGTACATTACTGTTCGTAACTTCAAATGCGTAATTTATTTAGAAAAATTGTAAATTCAGGTAATGTTTTTTTGGAAAAAAGTTTTGTAATAATAGTTAGAATTCGATTGCGCAAAAAAATAAAAATAAAAAATGCATCTTTGACCTTCAATATCTCGAGAACCCGTGGAGACCTAGCTATGGTCTTAAAGAAAAAAATGATCCAAATAATGGGTAGAATACGTGGCTTTCGGCTTCGTTAAGTGTCTTTTTACACCCTGTATAATGTACTATTGTGTGTGCAATAAAGTTGAAATAAAAGGATTAATTACACTTACCAGGTATTTGAACCCAAGGCGACCACGCTGTAGCCTTCCTGACCTCACAAGGCGCCATATCACATGGCTGTCTCTCCGTGCTAAATCCCTCACACTCGGCGCCTCCATTCTTAGGGACAGGATTATTGCACTCCCTTCGCCTCTCCTTCCAACCTCCAGAAGGACCGCATCCAGGACCTCCCGAAGCTGTGCAGGTAGACCAAGGTCCCCAGTCTGACCAGCCACCGTCAACTGCTGCGAGATTTGGGTCTGAAGAGGAAAATAAAGAATTGTTACAAAAACACAAATAATAACAGAAAGAAATACATAGCACTAGATAATAAGAAATACATAAATAATAGTATATTGGCATCACCGGTGAACAACGTTAGTCGATTTTGGACTCAGTGCCAATGTAGTCGAAAATACAGTAAATTCGATATGAGCACTCTGCCAGCGACTTAAAATGTTATAGTATATAACTACTTTTCTTATAAAGTAGGTATCTTTAAATGTCTTTTTAATGGGTATAATCATCGAATAACTTCTCCCGCTCTGTATGGGATGAGCGGGAGTATAAGGCTTTTATGCATTAAAAATTAAATGGTTTCTTTATTCTTCTTTTTAAGGGGGGAGAATGATCCGTCTTTGGAGGGGTATAAAACCACGTTGCTTCTCCTGAACACCCTTCCCTCTCCGAACCAGGGCCACAGTATAATAATCAGCGCATGTTTGGAGAGAGGCCAGTTTCCGCTGTCGTGGAAGACGGGTAAACTGGTCCTCGTGAAGAAGCCGGGGCGTCCTGCGGACTCTCCGTCCGCGTACCGGCCCATTGTGCTGCTCGACGAGGTGGGAAAGCTGTTCGAGAGGATAATCTCAGACCGCCTCGTCGGGCACCTGTCTGGAAGGGGGCCGGATTTAGCGGACGGCCAGTTCGGCTTCCGCAGAGGGCGCTCCACGGTGGACGCCATCATGCGCGTGAGGGACCTCACGACGGGGACAGCGTTGGCCGGGAGGCGAGTCGTCGTGGCGGTGTCTCTGGACATCGCCAACGCCTTCAACTCGTTGCCCTGGAGCTGCATTTTGGAGGCACTCCGGTATCACCGGGTGCCTGCCTATCTCCGTCGTGTAGTCGAGGCTTACTTGACGGACAGATGCGTCATCTACCCCGGTCACCGGGGCGTGTGGAATCGGCGAGAGGTGTCGCGCGGTGTCCCACAGGGATCGGTCCTGGGACCTCTCCTGTGGAACATCGGGTACGATTGGGTGCTACGCACCGACCTCCCGAGCGGCGTCAGCATTGTCTGTTATGCTGACGACACGCTGGTGCTGGCGAACGGGAGGTCGCATCAGGCGGCGGCCGACCTGATGTCACAAGCGGTCGCGACAGTCGTTGCAAGGATCCGGCAGTTGGGACTCGAGGTGGCGCTCCACAAGTCCGAGGCCATGTGTTTCTATGGCCGTCGGAGCGCGCCACCTCCAGGTGGGTCCCAAATAACGGCAGGAGGAGTTACCATCGGCGTCGAGTCGGCGATGAAGTACCTGGGTCTCGTCCTCGACAGCCGATGGAACTTCACGGAGCATTTTCGTCGTTTGGCCCCTAAGTTAGAACGGTCTGGGGCCGCGCTCAAGCGGCTCCTTCCCAACCTCGGGGGGCCAAACGCCTCCTGCCGGAGGTTGTATATGGGGATTGTGCGATCCATGGCCCTCTACGGTGCCCCTGTGTGGGCGCCGGACTTGAAGCGGCGGCCGGCTCGTACGCTGGTCGCGTCCCAGAGGGTCATGGCTATACGAGTAATCCGCGGGTATCGCACGATCTCCGGGGAGGCGGCGAACCTCCTTGCCGGATCACCGCCGTGGGATCTAGAAGCGAAGGCGTTCGCGCGCGTCTACAGTTTGCGCGCAGACGCGCGTCGCCGGGGAGAAGATCCTCTGCCGCGCCAAATTAGTGCGTGGCGGAATGAGCTCCGGCGAGATCTCATGGCAGAGTGGAAACAGCGACTGTCGCAACCGAGGGCCGGGCACGCTACTATAGCAGCGGTAAGACCCCTCTTTGAGGAGTGGCTTGAGAGACGCCACGGCGTCCTCACCTTCCGCCTGACGCAGGTGCTTACCGGGCACGGCAGCTTCGGTAGGTTCCTGTTTCGGATTCAGCGGGAGGAAACGCCCGAGTGTCGTCATTGTGAGGACTACCTAGAGGATACGGTGGAGCATACGGTAGCGGTATGCCCTGCCTGGGCTGAGCACCGCCGTATCCTCAGGGAAGTGATCGGCGGCGGCGACCTCTCGCGCCCGGCCTTAGTCGAGGCCATGGTGCGGAGTGAGAGGAACTGGGACGCCGTCTCCTCCTTTTGTGAAGCAGTCATGCTCGCAAAGAGAGAGGCGGCCCGCGTGAGGGGGCAATCCTCCTCCTCACGCCCCAGCAGCCGCAACTGGCGACACTACGGGCGTCGGGGATCGAGGGACGATCTCCGGCCACCGTAAGTACGGGCCTGCGGTCGGCGAGTAAGGGCAGCTCGCCGCCCGACCAGAACCAGGCCCGAGCGTACGGCGCGTAGCGTTCCGCGCGCGCCTCAAAGAGCCATTCGACCACCACAGACGGGGCCCTAAAGGGCTGATGTTCAGCCGGGGTTGCGGGGTAAGCGCAATGAGGTACCGCGACCTCGGCACAGAGCAGGAGAAGGAACAGGGGGGTTTTTAGTCAGTAAGAGTCTGACACTCCCTCCTGCCCGGCCCTGGGCGGGAGAAGTCATTTGATGATTTTCCGCTCACAAAAAAAAAAAAAAAAAAAACAGTATAATAATATCATTGCCCTAGCACCCTCTACCCGAGCTGGACATTAGCCGTCATAGCCCCATTTGTGGTGATCGACGCTCTTTGAGGAGCGCGGAATGCGATGAGTCATATACATATATCACATACAAAAAACACTTAAACAACATATGAGCAATAAGGGCTGATTTTTCAATGGTTAAATAAAAGTTATCTGGAGAATAATTATGATACTGTCGCGTCAAAACGTTTGTATAAGACAGTGACAGCAACAATTTTATTCCTCAAATGGCATTTAAGTATCTGACTATTGAAAAATCAGCCCTAAGGATATTTAAATTGTCAGTACTTACCGGGACATGGTGGTAAATTGCAGTAAACATCATCAATATCGAGGCCGACACAAACTCTTCCTCCAAACTTGGGTTCAGGCGCTGTACACGTACGTCGGCGGGACTTGATAGCGATACCACAGGAAGCTGAACACTTTGACCATCCCGACCAACTCGACCAGCCACCATGCACCGTGCAGTTTGTTACTGATATACTGGCGCCTGGGAAAGGCAAATATACGTTATTATTAATTGCCGACAGCGAGGATAAGGTAAATTAAATTAAAAAATAACTATGTTAGTTCAAAAAATCATACGTATCCGAGAAAAGTGCTACGAGGCCAGCAGCATTGTTATACAGAATTTGTAAAGAACAAACCAGACCTATGATTACAAAGCGCGTCGTTTTAAGACCTCTTTAATAAAAAAACCGTGTGAAAACAAATTTAGTTTTTAAATAATCTTTATTTTATATTTACTTTTGAGTAAAAGGTATTGGTTAAATGTGTTCGAAATTCAAATTGATATTACTTTGAGGTTTAGATAGAAAACCTAATGGTCTTATTACAACAGGTTTTTCTTTAGTCAAGGTCTATCTATACCATTGAGCCAGTTTTTGTATCGAATTGAAGGTAAGTGAGAATAAGTTTTAAAATTCAAAACCTTAGTCAATGGTTTATAGAATCTTGTTTTGAAATAAGCGGGTAAAAGTCTTGGCAACAAATTTTACTTACCATCACAGGGTTGTCCGCCGAAGGCCGGCCTAGGGTTGTCACAGCGCCGGGTGCGACACTTGCACATGTCGGGCTTGTCGTCCTCGTACATAGACACCGAGGTCCCGTCCTGCATGCACGGCTCCCACTGAGACCAGCTCGACCAACCACCGTCCACTATGGGGAGCAGGAAATACAATATTATAACTATGGTCTATCGGTTTATGTAGCTAAAAAGGTAAACAACTTTGGTAGGTATGTCTTTTCGTATATTAAAAAGGTCGTATTAAATAAATGTAAATAATTTAAATTTAGTTTATTAGCTAACATCGATTTTCGTAAATATCCGATTGTAAACATTTTTACACACAATTTTAGACAATTTTTGGATAAAAAGACCATACGAGACATGTCAAGATTGTTCACATTTAGTTAATTACTACAACCATAATGCAGTAGAAAAGGGTTGAAAACAAATAATCAAGTTAAATACTAAAACTAAATTTTAAAGTATATGCATCGATTGTAACATCATTAGAATACTCTTTTAGATTTATTTTGAACTGTATCCCAATCCTAATTAGGTACGATTTTAGCTATGACTATCTTAGCTAGCTTGTGGCCGACTCTTTTAGTGGGTGCAAGGTGCCCTGATATGGTGAGATATACAGACCTGGAGCATCAATAGCGGGGCAAGCGCTAGTATCCTGCTTGAAGGCCGGGTCCCCCAGCTTGCCCGCGGCAGACACGCAGAGCTCCCGCGCGTCGTCCCACCCGCAGTGGGGGTCGCCAGCCAACACGCACCCTGACCTACTCGTGTAGCGGGCACAGCGTGCCCCCGATATACGGTATATACCGGTTTTACCGCCTATGTAGATAGACATCTGGAAAAAAGTTTAGGAGAGTTATTACAAATAAATTACAATTGGGTTTTACCATGTGATTGAAGTTACCGGAGGCAACATCCTTCCCCTTTCCCAATCCCTAAATCTCAAAACCCCTAATCCCCCAAAGTTCAGCAACGCACACGTAACTCCTCCATCGTCGCGGGAATCCATGGGAGGCACTGATTGCTTACCATCAACACAGTGTTGTGTTTCGTCGACTGAAACCCTTTTCCTTAAAAGGCCGGCAACGCACTCGTAACTCTTTTGGTGTTGTGTGTGTTGTGTCCATGGGCGGCGCTGATTGCTTACCATCAGGCCGTCTGCTTGTTTGCCGATCTATTCTACAAAAATACAAATAGAATAATACTCACGGTATCCTTAACAAACTGCATGGTGAGAACCTCAAAGCTGTTATTCTTGCCGTTAAGTTTCCATCTTTCGACCAAACACGCGCCATCCAGCTTCGGCAGAACTGCCAACTTCAGAACATGAGATGCCTGAGTCGCCACGTAGAGTACCAATTGTTTTTCTATGTTCTTTGCTCCAGTGACATCTACGGTGACGTGGGTGAACCGTTCTGATGTTAGCTTAAAGATTGGTTCGCCAGAAACTGGTTGTACAGCTTCGTACATTAAATGATAGCGGTGGTATTCTATGGCTTCGTTTATCCTGTAGAAGATTGTTTTTCGTTAGTTGTATGAAAGTTTTTCAGTACTTTTTCATAAATATATAAATGTAGAACACTAACAAGTGAGCAGCGATTTTCATTTAGTGACAATGCTATTAAAATTGCTCATAGAAGTTTAAATATATAAAAGTACTAGCTTTTGCCCGCGACTGCGTTCGCGTGGATAAGTGACTTCCTGCAGATTTTTGGTTTTAAAACTATCCTATGTCCTTTCTCGAGTTCCAAACTATGACTGTACAAAATTTTACACAAATCGGTTCAGTAGTTTAGGCGTGAAGAAAAGACAGACAGGCAGAGTTACTTTCGCATTTATAATATCAGTTTGGACAAATTTTAACGCAAGTTTAAAAAACAACATAATTCTTTAACTTCTCTAATGTTACCCTTTTACCCAAATACAGGGATTATGATTATACTTTTTCGTAGTGTACCTACGCAAAACTTTTCACGTCCAGCATGAAAAAATAAAAAGTTAAAGAGTTTCTAAGAAAAAGTCCTTACCTTGAGTCCGGTACACATTTGAAATGGTCTCTCGCCTGTTTCGAAGGTGACCTTGGTTCCCAGGTCGATGTAGGTCTATCCTGGACCTTGTACGGACCATCAAAAGCCGCGGTGATGTCCGCCATGCTGTACACACATACTGCACTGCCGACTATACTGTTCCTGTAAGTGGGAGTATAAAGCTATGATATCGTATGCGGTTACATTGGGAATCTTAATGCCTTAGAAATAAGGTTTAGTTTCAAATTGATATGTGTAACAAAAAGTAGAAGAATCCTACAAAAAGATGGAAATCTACAGATACCCTGAAGGGGCATTGAAGTGTGGTGTTGTATTTATTATCTGTAATTAGTAATACTAATCATTGTCACACTAGAACTGTCAATGTCATTGTCATCCTTTTACTATAAATAAGGTGGCCGAGAGAGTGTCGACCATTGACAATGTAACTCTGGTGCAGTGAGCTGCCCAACTGTGTACTGTGATATGAAAGTCAAGTATCCAAGATCTAAGTCGTTTAATCATATTACATGTGGGAGAACCATGCTTCGGTTAAAATGGGCCGGTTTGATACTACGGCCCCACAGAAAACTGGCAAGAAACAACCGTAGCGTTGTTTCGCCGCGTAAGCTAGCCGGTTTTCTCCGACTGCTCGTCTGCCACATAAAATAGGTAGCATACTCTATAGGAATAGCAATCACTGCAATACCAGAGGTGTTACGAAAGCGTAGCCGGACTTTTGGGGATAAGAGTTTCTAAGATTTAGGGATTGAAGAGGGATGGTTTCTACGGTAACCTCAAACTGTTCAAAAAGACTATTCAACTAGTGAAAATCCAATTGCCAAGCAGTAAAATGAATTAAAAGGAACTTACGTAGGTGTTGTGAACGTAGCAACGAGTATCTTCTCCTGTGGCAAGTACTCCACGCTTTGCACCTCATCGTAGTTGAAGGGTACGTCTCCTGGCACTGAGCACTTCAGACGAGCCTTGAGGAAGGTACTCCAACTGTCCTTCATCACCAGGTAACCACCTGGATCGTTCTTACATACTCGAGCGATACGGGAGTATATTATCTGGAAGAGAAAGGATGTCTTTATTTTCTTGGTCTGTACATTTTTCTTAATTATGACAAATAAATCCTAAGCTCGTCGGGACAAGGATAAGAGTCTATAAAACCTTAAATATCTAATCATTTAATAATATATCTAGAATAAGCTTTGCCTCGCGGTTTCACTTCAGTTTTTTTTTTTTTTTTTTTCGCGGTTTCGCTTGAGTTTTCCTTTTTCTTCGTGAATACCGGGAACAGTGCAGCTTCCTAACGGTGAAAGGATTTTCAACAAACAAAACGTATACACATTGAATTACCTCCCAAGTAAAGCTAAATATTGAAATATGTCGTGTGACATTTTTAAAATATAGGATTATATTAGATTTCTGGATTATGTCTGAGGTATTCTAATCTACAAAAGAACCTCCTGAACTCCGGATCTCTGAGAATTCTTACAATGGTATCTAAAACTTTGGATGGAATAAATATCCTTTTACAAAAACTACAGACAGAATACATTATGTATCGCGCTGCTTGGTTCCAATTAGAGTTACATTGTTTACTATATATAAATATAAGTATAGTAGGCTTCCTCAATAAATGGACTATCCAACACAAAAAGTTTCATGTAATCGATCCAATAGTTTCTGAGATTAACGCCTTAAAACTAACCAACCACTTCTTAATAATATTAGTATAGAAATATTACTTATCTTATAATAAATACTACAATAATCACACAATAAATACACTAAAGACACAATCACATGTCATAGACTATCAACATCTGACCCAGTTTTTTTAAAACAATATAATTGATATAGATCATATAAATAGGGAGACAATTGGCAAATTGGCAGTGTCGACATAATGAGGGTCATAACCTCTTCCGGCGTGATGTGATACCGTTTGATGACATGCGAGGGACTGGGAGGGACCCTAATGGGCTTGAAGTACTTTGGTACAGGCAACAATAGCCATGGTTTTTTGTACTGCGATAAATCTGTTGTAAAGCGTTTCAACCTACCTCTTGAGGCTTAATATTGTTGACGTTTTCTAAAATCGATTTTTTTTTTTATTGTAACAGCTCAAATGATCTCGAATGAATAAATGAGGTTATGCTTCTATAAATGTAAAAAAAAAGTAAAACAAATGAATTAATTTTGGGACAGTTGTTTATTATGTCAATTAGTCTCGGCTTTTAGGCTTTTATTATTTGAATAAACCTTATTAATAAACAAGACTTAAGCAAAATAGGAGTCTATAGTGAGAGGGTACCTCCCCCCCCACCTCACCTTCTAATACTAATATTATAAATCATAAATAATTTTTATTCACATTTTAAGTTACTATGTCGAATTAGGTTAAGTTACCTGTAATGGCAAAGTAATATGTAGAAATAAATAAAGAAGTTTGTTTAAACGCGCTATTCTTCTAAAGAGCTACAGTTACAACACCGCCAACGTATTTTGGCGAGTCTGAAGTTAGCCGATTAGCTGAGCAGTACACAATTTTGTTCCTAAAAGATCCATTGCGTAGACAAACGGCTAACTCAGACTCACCAAGATACGACGGCCGTACTGTACAACTACACTTTTTCTGTTGGATAGTCCACATATCGAGGAAGACCTCTACACTACAAAACATCACGCTACGATCGCGTAAAACCACGCTGATGTAGCAATAACAGAATACAATTATACCAAAAAAAAAAAATACTCACAATCCAGTACCCATACCCTTTAAATAACAATCGCCCTAATAAATCGCTCAATCAAAGAAATAAAGTTTAACTAGACGCCAATAAAACTTTATAGTGTGCCGAGTGCCTAGTCCGAATTCTCTTTACGTTAAAACGATCGACATTTATGACGTTCGGCGCTCTGATTGGCTGGCTCTAAGTTAAACAACCAATCAGAAGGCTGAAGGCGGTAGCGTTTCGATCATTACAGTTAACGTCAAGCTAACTTGCAGTAGGCACTATTTTGACCTTTGTAACCGACTTTCGTTTGCTGTACAAACCCAGTAACTGCAAGAGAGTTGGACTATTGTTATAGCAAATAAATAGAAACATCGTTTAAACATTTTCGTATAGTAACTAACGTGAAACATAAAAAAAATTATTAAACACACAGAATTAACTTTTTACTGTTAATTCTCAACTAATTTCAAGTCAAAACGGGACTCTTACTCATGAGCAGCGCAAGCGACGTCTTTTCTCAGTCAATTCGCGTGAGTAAGTCGTTTTATTAAATAAACTGTGAGATCTATTACTGATGTTACGAAAGATGTTACGCTTTCAACGACCAATAAATTAGATGGATTGACCAATAGAACAATACACACCAATAGTGTATAGTATAAGTATTCAAAGCTGGGTTCTAGACTAGTTGTGAGATAATTAGGTTATGCTTTAGTCCTGCAATCACGAAAACCAACAATTTAGTTTCCTAATGAAAATTAAAATAAATATTCCTCGACGTGGTAAATTTAGCAAGTGGAAACGAACTAATAAATTAGTTTGACGTAATCTTTTAAAGTAAAACTTGTGTTAAACGTCTAAATAGCCGTTATGTACCAGATAATCTGGAATATAGAAGGAAACGAACAAACAAAAAAATAAACAATGTCATATATTTATATCTGAGTTTAAAAGGAACTTATACGTACAGACAGGGGGAAATAGGAATAAAATCTTTTGTGTTAAAAAATAGTGATTAAATTTTCTCGTCTAAGTAAACGAATGGCGGCCAAACTATAAACTGAGACATCTGGTCGTCAATCCTTTACGATCTTGTAAACAAACATTGTGTGTCATGTTACACATAAAATCTGTCTGTCAGTCTGTTACAGTTTCACATACAAACTTCTAGCTTGACTATGGTATTCTCAACAGCAAAAGGACGTAAGATCCTTTATTACAGAAAAAGTTTCTTTATTTATTTTTTAAAAAAAAAACGTTGCCCTCATTAGGATTTTCTCCTGTGTGATGGGTGCTGTTACAAACATACAATTTCACATACACAAGACACCCAGACCCGGAACAGCAAGTTGTGGATCACACAAAGAGTTGTTCCGTGCGGGAATCGAACCCGCGACACGTTGCACGGCAGCCAGTTGCCCAGCCACCGCACCAACCGTGCAGTCAAATCAGTCAATAAGAAGTATAGCACTTATATCCCAAAAAACCAAAAGTTAATGAAAGTGATGGTTGCGAGTGTAGATCAAGGCCACCCATGGGCCCTCGCAACACCAGAGTAGTCCACAGGTCTATTGCCGACCCTTTAGTTAGAAGTAGTCCTTATACTAAAAAGTTTGAAAATTTCTTAACTAATTTGTCGATTAATTATGTTTAAACGGCTCAACACTTATTCGACTCGACTAGTTTCAAGCCGTTAACGTGACTAAGCTGTTGAAATTATACGTTGTAACACGAAAATTTTTTAGGCGCGGTTGCGGTGCAGGCTCGGGCCAGAGCAGGAAACGGAACAGGGGGTTTTTAGTCAGTAAAAGTCTGACACTCCCTCCCGCCCCACCTAGAGCGGGAGAAAACATTTGATGATTTCCCCACACAAATACACGCGAATTTTAACACAAAATTACTAACGTTTTTAATATACAAAACACTTAAGTAAGGATAACTTACCTTGCCACAATTCATGAACTCCACAGCGACTTCTCTGAACACGAAATACACGAACTGGTCGTCTTCGAAACTGCCCACAAATTGGGGCTCGTTCAACCAGTTTAAGTCATACTGGGTGGTGCGGAGCATGCTTGAGTCGTGGCTGGCTGCGCCCTGGCTCCTGGAGATGAAGAACATTGTTTATTTATAGGTTTTGAAGGCAATGCAGACTATTCGATTAAAACGCTTTTGACAGAAAAATGGTAAAAATATGTCTTCACAGATACTCGTAATACAGTTATTTGTTGTGTTAGCTTTTGTATTGAATGGGGATGATAACTCATTCAAAAATACACACGTATTGCGGGTATACAAAAACAATTTGTAATCATCCATAAAGTTATTTAGAACATGGATCTTTAGCAAATCAATCTGCTTCAAAAAAGGATATTTTATCTCATCAGAGAAGAGTATCACACTCTTAAATAAAAACTAAAAGATTCTGAGGTTAAATGACCAAATAAAGCAATAATCATCATATTATTAGTAATAACTAAGAAAACCTTAATAAATAAGACACGTTCCTCATAAATCATTATACCTATTTAAAGCAACCGCAACAAAATCTGTCATGTAGTTTCAGAGATCTAAGCGTACATAGGGACAGACAGCGCTAAGTGACTTTAGTGATTTGAAAGGTAACTTATGCCATTCATTTAAAGATAACGTAAATTCTATTTTAAATAAATCGATTGAAACATTTCATTCTAATTCAAATGAATTGACCTACTAAAATGTAAACGTTATAAACCAATCAAAAATTAAATCTTAATTTAATATATAATAAAGTAAAGGTGTAGTTAATCTAATCAAAGCTACTTGGATTGCGTGTACAGATAATAAATATATTGACACGACCAATACAAGGACGAGAATCGATATAAAGCAATAAATCGCTGACCCGTAATCGATATCAAATTAGAACGGTGCACCGTGTCACTGGTATCTTAGGAACACTGCTTTAATAAATTATTACTTAGTAGGAATGTGTTGTTGTATTAGTTTTTGTACGAAGTTTATATTTAGGTAGTGTAGAGAGCCATTCTTTGGGCATTAATGGGCCGGGGCGATACCACGGCCTTGCAAGTAAATTGACGTGAAACAACGTTGTGATTCGCCGTGTAAGTGAGGTTACCGAAGGCCACATCCTCTAATCTCTCTCCAATCCCCAATACTCCTAACCTCCAAAAGACTGGCAATGCACCGTCGTGCGGCTTAAGTTCTTATATTTTTTTATATGGGAGAGCCATGACTCGGCACTAATGGGTGTCGAATTCCACGGCCTTACAGAAAACCGGCGTAAAACAACCACAGCGTTGTGTATCGTCGTGTGAGTGAGGTTACCGGATGCCCAATCTTTTCCCTCCCCCAATCCCTTCCCAATCCCAAAGTCTCCTAATCCCTAATCTCCAAAGGTCGGCTACGCACTCGTAACTCTTCCGTTAATGCGGGTGTCTATGGGCGGCACTGATTGCTTTCCATCAGGTAATCAGATTCCTCGTTTGCCGACCTATCACATAAAAATGTGTCTTTTGATCAAGTAGTTCTTAGAATTAGCTAGGAGTAACCAGCGGTGTTATTTCAAATTATATTCTATTTCATGGAAATACAGTTTATATTTACCTGCATATAGCGGTGTCCGAACTAGCGAAGTCAGTAGGGGTACCAGCATAGTACTCCCCGTTGGAAGCCAGTATCGCAGTCACGTTGGAATGAGGGTTGTACGGACAACTGGCCACACCAGTCGCCCATTCCGTAACGGTTTTTATTGATTCGATCTGTTAAAAAGAAAAATAAATAATTTAATTATTTGTAAATGGAACTTAGAATGTTATTTGGAAAAAGAAGAGGGCTATCAGAAAATCGATGTAAGACCAATTCGAAAAAAAGAATATATATTTTTTTTTTATTTATATATTTAGAACTTTATATTATTACAATAAAATGTACAGGCAGCCTTTATATCTTAGGTAATGTCTAACAATAAACTTGTAGGTGATACAGAAATTTATAGGCAGAGAGGTGACATTTTGGAAAAGAAAAGTAAATATAAACAGTTAATAACTTAAATACTGCGTATAAACATATAATGAGATCCACACATACACAACAAACATCAATCCATAAATAAATGTCCACTTCCTACGACTTAATTTGACCATTCGTACTACGCACTACTCGTATCAAAATTCCCACAATGGGCAAGTTTCCAACTAGTCAAATTCAATACTTTTATCCAAACGTCAAAACAGAGAATTTTCTATGAAATTTGTATGAAAAACTGAGCTATGACGTCATAACATTTTTGCGTCAAATACCTTACTTATTTCATAATGATTAGCTAAAAAAAAACTAAAACTTAGTGTATCGGTCGATCGATGAATAAAAGTATAGTTATTTTTCAATATTTTATTGTATTGAAACATCGAATTAATTTATTTTTGACCTAGGAAACTACCCAATTATCACAATAGAATTACATGTAGGTACGTGTTTGTTAGACAAAATAGATTACAGTAAAAACAGGTTTAACAATATTTGATGAACTCCAAACAAATTCTCACACAATACTACAACAATCATTTTATTAATACAAATCTTACATCAAGTGTGGGAGGGCCAAGCTTCGGCACGAATGGGTCAGCTCGACCGGAGTGATACCAAGGCCTCACAGAAGACCGGCGTGAAACAACCACAGCGTTGTGTTGCGCCGTGTGAGTGAGGTTACCGGAGGCACAATCCTTCCCTCCCCCAATCCCTCTCTAATCCCAAAATCTCCAAATCCCTAATTCCTAAAAGGTCGGCAACGTACTCGTAACTTCTCCGTTGTTGCGGGTGTTACTGGGCGGCGCTGTATACTTACCATCAGGTAATGGGTCAGCTCGTTTGCCAATTTATCACATAAAAAAAAACATTCTACCTCTGTTAGCGAATAATTGAAAAGAAAATTGTCTACATTGTCGCCTTATTTTCTAAAATCAAATCTCTACGTTCAATTTATTCGAAAAAGATTACCAGATAAACAAACTTGGCTTGGCATTAACATCGAAAGTGTTCGATAAACATCTTTTGTATACATACAAATTCGATTTCAATATTAAAATATTCCTAACACATACATTACGGCAGCAAACCTTACAAAAACAAACATGATTTTAGCGCAATGGCTTAACATTTAACTCCTAAAATACCGGTTGCCAGTCCTGTTCTATGACCAAATAAAAGAGACACCTGTTTTCAATAAATCGAATTGAAATAAGGACATTTACACTTTAGCACATTTTGGCGGCTGTAGTGTGCAGATTGGCGGTTTCTAGGGAACCTCTAGATGACCTCTATTAAAACTAAAATTTTAAGAATGTTTGACCCTTCGAGATAGGTTTCTGTCATCTGTACTGAGATAATGTTTTTTTTTTTCTAAATAATTATTGCAACTATTATTTACATGCCATCATTATGTATATTATTGTATGTACGTACCAAACTGGTTGTAAGGTCATTGATAACTATAAACCTTACTCCATTAAGAATAGTGTGCAAAATGGACAAGTTATTTAGACTAACCTCTCGCCAGCTGCAGACAGGGCTGAACGCGTGTGTTCCACAAGCGAACAGCTTATGGCCATGAAGTAGAAGAACCTTGATGTAGTTGTGGCAGTCTTCCTCAGTCTGTCCCTTCATCTGGCACATCTTTATCTTACTGGATGGGGCCAGCCAGTCAGCTCGTTCCAGAACTCCAAGGCCTCGAAGTGATAATCGGTAGAGGGCATCCCTGGGAAGAAATAAAAATACCTTTAAACTTCGATTGGACTGGATTCTTCCTTAACAATAACACTACTGTTGCTGCAATCCTTTTAATGCTATTGAAATTAAACTATAGTACAAAAATGAATCGCAAAATGTGTTGGTAAGCGCATAACTCAACAACGCCTGGACCTATTTTGTTAATTCCCTTTTTTTTCCTTGTGTTTGTTATTTTCAGGAGAAGGTTCTTATGATCAAGAAACTTTTAGAAAATTAGAGAGAAAAATCGGGAAATAGCTACAGGGAATATAGATGGATATCCATACGAAGCCGGGGCGGGGCGCTAGTGCATAATAAAATCATTATAAAAGCAATACCTACTACCTACAATGCATTTAATGAATACATGCCCAGTTGGAAACGATTCAATAGTAGGAAGTTTAACAATAATGTGCACAGTTGCAGCGGATACCGGAAAACTAGTGAGTATTTTATTATTCAAGTAAGGAATCAGATTTTATATCCTACTAACTTCTTTCAGCGACTTCGCCCGCGTTACTGAGAGGAATTTAGGTAGGCTAGGCTACATGTTAGGATAAACTATAATCAACATCTGTGCATATTTCATCACAATCCATTCAGTAGTTTACATGCAAAAGAATAACAAAGATAGTTATAACTTTAATAGTATCTTTCCTCAAGTATTAAGAAGAACCCCTCTGTGGTTCGAAACTAGTAGAGGTTTTCTCAATATTTATACGTGATTAACCCGCGATTTTTAGTTAATTTAGTATGTCTCACGATAGTTATTATAAAAACGAAACGATGAATTTATTTATGCAAGTAGCCCATAAAACAAGTTTTTTTACATGCCAACATTTCCTATCTAATTACTCAGAAAAGAATACCGGAATTAACTCAGGAGGTAAAATGTAAAATCGAACCACTACACTTACTACTACTACTACCTATATAGAATTTGTTATTCTGAGTAGAACGCCTGGACTGGATTTATTCTTTACAATGCAGTTACTGATTTTCTAAACTTATCTTGTTAAGCAACAATCAATAATCCCACAATAGAGATTAACTGTAAAGATCAAGTACAAAGTACCAGCTTGACAACAACCATAGTTGCAAACAACACAATGCAAATATTAATCTCACAAATCCAATTATGATCGCAATCTGATAGCTAACATACGTACGTACGATGTATCCTTGAAATATTTAAAGGGCAATAAATTATAATAATCCGTTCGTACTAATACCAATACTGTTATCTAAAAAAATACAATAAGTTTTTATCTGATCATCACGTAGAGTAGACTGCACGGCGGCGGTCTTAATGTAGGTATTTGGCCGCCATATTGCGTTTTCGCTTGCATTTAAAAACGCTTACACGGCGTACAAACTTTCAAGTCCAGAATCTTGGAAACAACTAAACCGATTTTAATGAAACTTGGTACTTATACGCAATATACCAAGATCAAAAACCTAAATGAAATATGTAAAGACTTAAATCTTGGATACTTGACTTTAATATCACACTACACAGTCGGAAAGCTTACTGCACCAGAGTTACACTGCCAATAGCCGACACTCTCTCGTCCACCTCATTTATACTAAAGGTTGATTTATACTGACACTGACCGTTCTAGTGTTACAATAATTAGTATGCCTAATTAGGTAATTAGAGATGATAAAACAAAATAAATTTTCAAATTAATCTTTAATCAAATAGTTATACCAGTGGAATTTAAATATTTGTATAGAAACTAAAAATCCTCTACCCGACACTCTCGACTGTACTCTATTTCATAAATTCAGTTCAGTAGCTTCTCCTATTTTTCAAAAGTTCGTATAGTAGGTATATCGCGCAGCTTACATGCTCATCAAAAAACTTCGTAATCCAACCAATCACCTAGATCCAATTATAATTATCTAGGAAATATAAATCGTTACACAAGCAGTAGTTGGAATAAATCGGAACACATGTACATATGTAACCATATATCGAGTCGATTGCCGCGGGATCGAATATCAATGGTACGCCGTTGTAATCGATAGCGTTACCGATAGGAACGGTATCGATATTATTTATGTATCGAGTGCGGTCATGTATCGGACTGGTTTGAGAGCAATTTCGTCATTAGACAATCAGGTGAATAACTTTATATTTGTTTGTTTTTATTAGACTAATAATGATTTTTGGCTAATGAAACTATTAGAGAGATTACTAAAAGATTTTGAACAAAAAGTTCACTCTGGTCATCATAGACAACATCTTTACAACAGCCAAAATAAATTAGACCAGCCAGCATCACTATTAAAACTTGTTTAAACAATAAACTTCACACATTTCGGTACTACGTGAAGACGCGTGCCTTGATCCAAGTTTGTGAAGCGTATGAACAAACAAATGGGTTTAATAGCTCAGCCAAATGTTCATGGCATAATATTGACACACTATGTGGCAAACACTAGCACTTCCTGGCGTTTGAACAGTACCGCTTGGTCTTAGGGCTATCATTGAGGTAGGATATTATCCAGGGTTGGGTCCTTTAGCTGTTAGTCTTTTCAATATTAGTGGTGTAGGAATTGGGAAAAGATGGCCGAATAAAGAATACTAAGACAGAGTTGACAAACTTTTATTTCACTTGGAACTTCAAAAGAGGAGTATGTTTGTGTAGTGAAATCTTCAACCGATTAGGCTGAAAATGGTATAGACGTTCAGTTCTAAGCTGTTTGGATACTCTTAATATATAGAAAAGGAAAACATCGTGAGAAACCTGGACTTCTAATTTGTAATTATAAGTTTGAAATCGCCAATCCGCCTTGAGCTTGAGTAATGTTCAATTCTTCTCCGTGTGAGAAGAGGCCTTTGCTCGGCAGTTTGCGCTTAAAGGCTGATGAGATGTAATGACATAAAAATGTCTCTTAATTTTTTAAACTTACAAACTAACCTAATAAAACCTCTTTTTTCGATATATTTTTGCTTGCGTTCGCCAACCCTAGCGTTGAACTGAATCCATAGAATCCACAGATTATACGTATGTGAGTGTTAATAGACAATCGTAACACTTCGTTAACGTTCGTCATTTAAGACTAGATAATGATGAAATGCTCTCAACTTTCGTTTCACACGAGTTTAGTAATTAGGAGTAGTGGGTCATGATATCCTAAAGAATTCCTTCTAGCTTATTATATTTTAGAGTAAACGTTCCAACGAATCCACTGCGAATTTTAGGTTTTTCTCTCTCTAATCTTCATGCGAATTGTCTCCTGCCTTGAGTGGGGCGCGGGGAGTGTCAGACTTTTACTAGCAGACGCAATTCCAGCTGAACATCAGCCCTGTTGGGCGTGAACTACGTTGTGCGTTAACTTTCTATTAAGGGGTTCCGTACTGCAAATGTTACAAAAACTAACAATCTGTTACTAAAACCGTCGTTGTGTCTGTCTGTCTCGAGTATAATGTATTTCTGTTAAAAATACTAAACACAAAATAGAGTTAGTATTTCTTCCATTCAAGAAACTGCGATTGGGGAGGGAGAGATAGGTATGCATAGCAAAAAACAAGGCAAAATATCAACGTATCAGATTTGTTACTGATCACGATAAGAAGAAATAAATTATGTATCAGCACAATAAACCACTAGCACTATTTCTATTAAAACTTTGTAAATGTATCAGTGTTGTTATAGTGCAGAATTCCTATTTAACTAAGAATTTCCCTAGACGAAACCCGTATGAAAATAAGTGTTTCTAGATCAAGTATCTTAAAGAAGGCCTAGAATATACCTATCCCTACAAGGCAAACTAGTTAGGTACCGGGTTCGAGATCTTTGCAATGTAAAATAACTACTTATGCTATTACAATTTTAAGATCAAGTTATAGATAATAACTGTACTTCGTTTGAGCAGGATCAATGAATCTTTAAGACGGCCTTGATTTCGAAAACCACGGCCGGATTTATGGTTTAAGAATTAGACACGGTAGAACCTGAATCTGCATCAATGAGGACCGTGGGCGTTGATTCTGATGAATTGCTGTCATGAATCAGTATTTTGATCGAATTTGGTGGTATAGTATTAATTTAAGATCCTCCAATGTTTTTTTCCGTTCTTTCTGCTCGTACAAATTCGATTCGATTTTGTTTCTTTCTTTTTCTTTTAAAAAACGTTTCTCCACAATGGGATTTTCTACTGTGCGTTTACCACCATGAAATTTTACATAGGTACACATATGACACCAAGACCCAGAACAACAGTTAATCGATCATACAAACAGTTGCTCCGTGTAGGAATTAAACCTGCAACACGTTATATGGCAGCCGAGTACCGAGACAGCTTAGCGCGCCAACCGTGCAGTCATCAAACATTAGTTAGGTATATCAAAAAAGTCAGTATTTTACGTAGACAAATTTAAGAAGGTATATATGTCACCGGAAAATAACAAGATCCGTAAGTTTATCAATTTACTAGGAAGTTTATAAACTTTCGTAAGATTCTAAACGGGAGATAAATTGTTATATTTTACGTCCACATTTTCGTAAATTGATAAACTTACTGAACTCACTCGTAAAATAATAAGTAAGCAGTAAGCAAACGCTACGCGAGATCTGATTGGTTGGCTGTCACGTGTCACTTCTCCTTCCTCGCGGCCGCCATTGCTGGCCACGGAACTGTATTTTAGCAAGTAACTGTTAAATAGCTTATTGAAACTGATAATAGAAAACTCAACTCACTAGATCCGTGCCAGAGAGGAACCAGGCATTGTTGCTTCCAATTTATAGTTTGTCAATTCTGATTATTCCAAAGTCTATGGACACAAGCATTGCCACTATGAACATTGACCAATCAGAGAGTAGTGTGTTATTTTACGTATTTCAAAAATTCGTATATTTAAAAGAGTTTCTGTGATTGGTCGAACCATATAAAATCTTACGAATACATATTCGTTAGTTTTTACCATATGACGTCGGAAATTGATAAATTTACGAAAATGTGGACGTAAAATATTACAAT